TTGGCATTCCCTTGTTGTATAAGGGACAAAGAGATGCTTTATTTTTTTTCTTCTAAATTTATTCAAGTTGTTCCTCAGTATTTTTATTAAAGTATACAGTATATTGTGATTACTCTCCAATTACCTCTTTCTCTGCTGCCTTATCAACTTCCTTTCTTCCCTATAAGTTCTTTTTTATATCAATAAGCATTTGTTTTGTTTTTAGACCAAGTGAGTCTATATGACTATGGGTTTTGAAGCCCCCATCAAAACCTCATAGGCTTTTACAGCTAATGGCATTGACACCCCATTTCCCAGTACTCACTAGTTCTGGGCAGGGGAGAACAGGACTCCCAGAGCTCCTCTCTCATCCACGGTTGGCTCTTGACAGGCCTATGTTCATGCAAGCAGGCTCAGATACATGAAGTTCATGATTGGAATGACTTTTTAATGCCCAGAAAATGTTATTTAACCTTTAGTTATTCTCAGGACCTAGAGCTGTCATATGTCTCTGCATTCACTCACGTTCACTTCAAAGAGGCTTCTCTGATTAAGGCTGAAAGTTGCATTTGTCAATGAATATTTTAATAGTACTCAAGCTAGTTTGATACTATAGCAATTTGGTTAAATACCAGTAAGGTTCAGGCAATGGGCTTTTAACTGGAGTTCATAGCACTAGAAATGGATTCCTTGCTATAGGTTGGCCTCAAATCCAACCAAAGAGTGATTGGTTACCACTATAACAATTTTACCTCATATATGTATATAAACATCTTAGATGGAAGGTTGATATTGTAGTTAATTTAGTGTAAAATGAGTTGAGACCATTGGTCTCCTTTCTTACCCAGTATCTTATGTGACTGTGAAGTCTATTTGAGAGAAATAAAGCTTTCATGTCAGTTTTCTGTTGATTTCTATTTATCTTGTCATCAGGTTGTATTGTGTCTTCAGTATTATGGCCTTCTCACATAGTTCTTATGGGTAACCAAGAAGAATGGTAGGGATCTGCATTTTGCATTTTTTTGGGGGGGGGTAGGCCTTCACGGACAATAAATAACTCCAAAGTGGTATCTACACCGGGCAATGGAAATTTTTGCTTATAGCCCATGACTTTTAATAGCCTTGTCCAGCCTTGTAGAGTATTGTTCTTTAAACTATTTTATTTAGCTAGTTTTAAAAATTGAATTTCAAAATATTAAATTTCTGTATGAGATTTTTGAAAATCCTTAACTTTCTTTTTCTCTTTCTGTTTCATTCTTCTTTTCTCTCTCTCTCATCTCCCCAGCTTACTTCCCAGTATAAAATTTCCTGTCTCTGTATCTTGCCTATTTTCATATTCCGATGTTCTACTAGCCAGCTTCCTTTAATGAATAACCCAGCAGCTTCTCTCTAGCCTTCTGGCTTCTGCAAGTACTCCAGGTTAAACACACCACACTAGAAATCTGAAGTTAGGGTCCACCCATAAGGGAGAACATATGGCATTTAGTCTTTTGGGTTTGGGTTACTTGACTCTACATTTTTTTCCTAGTTTCATCCATTTACCACACATTTCACTTTATTACAGTTGAATAAAATTCCATCATATATGTGTACTACACTCTAATCACACATTCATCAGCTGATGGACATACAAGCTGATTCTATTTTCTAATTATTGTGAATACAGAGAAGAGGGCATGGCTATACAAGTGTCTGTAAAGCAGGTTATAATAGACTACTGGCAATGGTCGAGAGAGTGCCTGAGGTGACCCACTCTGGTGATCAGATGGGTGAACTCCCTAACTGTCATGACTGAACTCTCATCCAGTGACTGGTGGAAGTAGATGCAGAGATCCACGGCCAAACCCCAGGTGGAGCTCCAGGAGTCCAACCGGCAAGAGAGAGGAGGGATTTTATGAGCAAGAGGTATTGAGACCATGATTGGAAAAAGCACAGGGACAAATAGCTAAACCAGTGGAAACACATGAACTGTGAGCCAATAGCTGAGAAGCCCCCATGGAACTGGACCAGGCTCTCTGGATAATTGAGATAATTGAGATAATCAAGTTGATTAGCTTGAACTGTTTAGGAGGCCCCTGGGCAGTGGGACTGGGACCTGTCCTTGGTGCATGAGCTGGCTTTTTGGAACCTAGGGCCTATGCTGAGACACTTTGCTCAGCCTTGGTACAGGGAGGAGGGAACTGGACCTGCCTCAACTGAATCTACCAGGCTGGGCTGAATCCCCAGGGGAGACCTTGCCTTGGAGGAGGTGGGAATGGGGGTGGGTGGGTTGGGGAGAGGTTATGGAGAGAGGAGGGAGGACAGGGGAATCTGTGGCTGATATGTAAAATTAAATTAATTATCAAATAAAAATATTTGTTAAAAATTACTAATTAAAAAGTAAATAAGAAAGAAATTTTATTCAAAAAAAGAGAAATATCTTGATTGCAAAGGAGAAATATATATTTCAGGGAGGACCACATGTCACAACAACATGGGACAGAGAGAAAGTATAGAATTACCTGCAGGGGAATAAAAAGCCAAATAATTTGGTGAATGAGTTTAAGAGTTTGGTGGTGGTAATGGAGAAGTCATGAAGAGTAAGCACAAAGAGTGTTCAGCACACGGTGCTCTCCCGGTACACCTCCGGTTTTTTCTCTGGTACTTCTCATCTTTCATGTTGACTTCACTAGGCTTTCATTTGTCTTTTACACTAAATTGTAAGCTTCAATAGGACAGATTGGAGGATCATATGTATAAAAAAAAATCAAGGACAGTAGCGATCTTCTGCAGAGAGTTCTCCAGAATGAGTAATAGAGAAGACAAAGATCCAAACAGTGAAATGTGAGTGCAGAGAAGGCAAAGGCCACACACACCAAGGCAAGCAAAAGCCGTAGGGCCTCTTGCTAAAGGAATTCAAGATGAGATATCAGGACACTTGGGGGTTGACACTATGATGTAGTTTAGTAGCAGGTGTGTATATGATCCATAATATGTTTTGTGCTGGACCTATAGATTCAAGAGTGACTAACATTTTTATACTAAATGCTGTATTATGGATGCCATATTATAGTGAACACTTTTAGAGAAAGAGAATCCAAAGAACAGAAATCTGGAATGATTGAGGACAAGTGGGTAACTGAGAATTGGAGAATGAAAAATTAGAATATCCACCAAGGAGAATGCAGACAGCTAAAAGGAAAGGAATACTATAAAGAGTAAAATCGCCACCAGGTATGAAATGTTGCAGGAAGCTTTGCCTGAAAAATGTTATCTTAGGGAATAGCAGTTGAGAGTAAGCATTGAGCGTTGGTTGGACAGCTTTCTACAGTGGCAGGGACCCAAGACAAGTACAAAAGGCTAAGGAGTACTTGGTACCTGGGGAGATGAGAATGTAAGTGTGAATGCTCCTCAGAACTCATCTGAACGTGTAGAATATTTCCAATTTACGAATTTTCTGGTTGTTAACAAATAGATTTGTCAAAAAATCAATTCTCTCTGATGTATTTTGATTTTAATGAGAGTTTTATAAAGGATGAAATCTTGATTTCAAAAACAAAGCATGTCATCACAGGGCAATGGTTGGAGAGAAACATCAACACACACTATTTCTGATGCAGCTAAGTCATACCAACCAGAGTCCTTTGCCCTTTCTTGCTCATTTGCACAGCAATACTTGGCTCTTCCACACCCTGTGCCCTCTGCAGACACACAAAGCAGCCTAATGCACACACAGCTTTGATTTAGCAGAAAGTCAACAGGTGCCCAGCAAAGCTTTGCAAAAGCTTTTGCTTTTTTGGCTTTTAAGCCGTGCCTCTGTAGCATGACCAAGTTGGTACTGGATTGCTTGATTTATTTTTCATTTTTTCCTTGGATGTATTAATAGAACAATCAATCAGATCTTGGCAGGGATCAGAATTGTCCATTAAAGGAGGCCAATACAATGAATCATGCATAGATTTGCTTTCTCCCTCCTTCTGATAAACAAATAGACCTGACCTTGGTTGTGCAAATGTTTCTTGCAAATGCATTGCATAGGTTTTCATAGTACATGTGATGTCTACATTTCAAAAAAAATTGGGGTGAGTCTTTCTGCTCTATAATCCTTCTGAAAAATGATACAAAACTTATTAAATATGTAGTGTAAATATACTTAATCAGGTGGCTCTATGCATCAGGTGCTCCAGACATTTATTTAAGTTGACAATTACTTAGGCAGAAGTTGGAATAAGAGACGACCAGGAATGTTAGGTTTGTTGTAATTTTGCAAGAGCATGCCTGTTTTGGATGTACCTTTTACCGAACCTTAGCACCGCTTTAGATTATAATTGGAGTAGATGATTCACATGTTAAGAAGGTCAAGGGAATACAGTGGTAGGCAAGAAAAACAGATTTTTTTCCCCACCAGACTTACTTATTATTTTATGTCAGAACTTATAAAATGGAGTTTTGATTTTGGGTACAAATTTACCCGAGAATGTGCCAAATGAATCATGACAACTCAAAGCCACCCTGAAGAGAAATCAAATAGCCTTTCCAAGGCAGCTCAGTTTTCCAAGTGTATTTGGATCACAGTTTTATAAAAATCTATGCACAGGCTTCTATGATCATTAGGGATTAAGAAATTTGGTACTACCTTATGCTTGTAACCATGCAATCGGCCTTTACTCTAGTGAAAATCCTCCCATCAGGAAGCAATGGCTGGGGGATTCTGCTCTCCTATTCACTTTAGCACACCTTTGTAGTATCTGTGAAGCAGTTTCACTGCGCGCTGGTTACTGGTTTAGCACACTACAGCTTGGATGGCAATGTATACTTCTCAACTGAGCCTCATGAGAGAGAGCATTCACATAGCTAGTTAAAAGAAGAAACTTTATACTCACACACAGCCAGCAAAAGAGAGTAGATGCCAAGGACTCATGGTGAGCCAGCGCCCCAAGGCTGAGGCACGTTGCCCAGTGTGACTGGAATTTCATGTGTGAATGCCCCATTTGCACTGATGCTCAGGGATCCCAGACAGCTGTCTACCTTAGGTTTTATACCTGGGAGGAGGCCACAGGAGGTGCCATGCCAGACTTAAGCGTTCCAGCACATTATGCTTTAGGACTGGCAGACGCAGAGCCTGTGGTGACCTAGCAGGCTCTGTTTATCTCAGAATGTTTCATTCTCAGCACGTCCTACAGTTATTCTTGAGGACTGCAGGAAAGAAATAGAGGATGTCAATGCAAAGCTCCAGGTCTTACCACAAAGCAATAGAGTTCTGGAGCTAGATATAAGTGATCATGGCCTCGGGACACAGATGTACGTTATCCCTATTCCATGTTCTAATGTGGTGGCTGCTTATTGATGTTTTTCATAGAAACAAAACAATAAAAGTCATAAATCAAGGTGCTTAAAAATACATTGGTGGAAACATCAGAAAGGCAGGTTACAGTAAAGCATGGAAAACCCTTCTGTAGGCTTCAGGCATTATTGGATGACATTCTTGTCTCCCACCATATGGACTCAGGTAAGGAACTCAGGTTTTTAGGCTTCAAAGAAATTGCACTTACACACTGAGCCAGCTCTCAGGCCCATCATAGAAATTCTAATCAGCGATTCAGCCTTGGAGAATGTTTAACAATAGATAGCTTTCCACCCCTCTGCAAACTTTTATTTGCAGGAAGTGGATCCACCCATGGTCATCCAGAGAACTGTCCTATGATACTGTCCACTTGGGTGTTACCTGTGAAAGAGACGACATTTGATGAATGTGGGGTATCAGGAGGAAGAAATTCAGATGACTACAAAACATGCCCAGGAATGTTTCATCATTTTATTTCTTCTCCAGAGATAAACTTCATAATCATAATTAATAAGCACAAGAACCATTGTGACTGGGGAACAAGATGGTCCCTAGATACTTTACTCTTTGCCTTGTATAGGTCCTCATCTGCTCACTGAGTTTCCCAAGAGTAGTGTAGCTGAAAAAAGCCATGCAAACCTGCTTGCCATCTTTCTTATGGCTATATCCTTTGCTGAAAGTTGTTAGGTCTTGCTCAAATGTAAGCTACCTTCATTTGTAGAGCTGTGATTAGACACAACTAAAAAGCACACAATCTAGAAAGTATTTGGTGAGAGGTAGGGAAAATGTCATCAGGAATAGCCCTGATTCAAGGTACTCATAAAATGCTCATAGTGTAATTCATCACTATATAAAGTTTTGTATTGTACAATGGTATATTAGAGATCTAGACAAGTGATTTATAAATTAAGGTACATTAATTAATGTAAGATTTTGTTTGCATATGGATAATATGAAATCTTGCTATAATTTTAATCATCATTTTGCATGCACGTATTTTGTGCTGTTCTAATCCTGGTCTCTCCTTTTCGCCACTTGCTTCTCATGAAAATCTACTAATGAATTTCTATTATAAATGTCAGAAAGGACTCTGAGGAGTTCTGTACTTGTGACCCCAGAGTGTTAAGAGCCTTAAACTCTTAAGACAAGATCTATCTTAATATCAGAATCAGTAAATGGCCTGGTCTCTAGGCCCTTTATGTTTGTTTGCTCTCTTGACGCAGGTGAACTAATAACACACTCTTGAACATTACCCTGAGGTGCACGGCTTTACATGCAGAAGATGCTTTACAAATGTTAATTAATGCTAATAACAGCCATATGGCTAAACTACATTATGTTTGGATTCAGCTTTGCAAAGGTTCCTAATATTAATTCTGAAAGTTGTAATTTTTGAGGCTACTCTGAGACGCATCGCATTACCAGTCTCAGTAAGAATGTGCAATGGCAAGCCTAGACAGAATCTGGACTTCATTGTTGCTTACACTTAGATACACTATTTGTCTCTCTGTGTCATACTTTCTTTGCTTGGTTGTTGTGTTTTCCTAGTTTTCTTGGTTGTTATTTCTAGGTTTTAAATAAACCCTTGCATGCAAAGCCCTTAGAACAGTGATGACCATGTAGTAAGTGCTCATTAACTATTTGCTAGTGGCTTGTTATTCAGCAAGTTTGAATCTACCCTGTGGATTTGTTCCACCTTGTGGAACTTTTCATAAATGTAAGGACCTGCAGCAACAACACAAGAATCCTTCAATTAAAGATTTCTATTTAATTTTTGAAGATTACAATCTAGCTATTGTTTATAGCACATAATTGTAGCTTTGTCTTCTGGCAAGAGCATTTTGTCCTCATTTGATTAAATCTAGAGTTCACAGTTTTCAATTGTTGGGTTGGCTGATTTCATCTTAAGATTTAATGCCAAAACAATTGCTCCTTTCTGCAGTTATGATTAGCTGTGGCTTGCATCAATTTATTTTGAAATGTAGTAATTATTATAGAGAAGAACAATGTGAAGGCTGTGTCAAAACAGAACCAGGGAAGGAAGATTTTCTTTGAAGCTGGTTTTGTGGTTATCTGTGACCGCTTCTTTCCACAGGTATACTGACCCCAACCATTCCAAAAATCATGTGTAGGAGATCAGGACTTTACTTCATAGAAAAGTTATGGATATTTAGCATTGAATAGAGCTTATGCTGCTGCTAGTCAGGCAGTCCTCACTCACTAGAAAAACTTTCCTGCTTTCCTAACGTAGCAGTAAATAGTAGAAGCAAATTCCGAAAGCGGCTCTTCAGATGTTTGAAAGGAAGGATGCTTTTTGCCTTACATGCTAAGAGAGGCACACAACAGACATTTAATAAGAGATTGCAGAAGAAATTAATAATGACTGAATAAGGACTCTTTCTCCAATATCCCAGTTGTCTACAATATTAGTCATATCCATGACTCTAAGACTAAGGGAGAATCAATGAGGGTTTGTTCCATCTTGTCTGGAGGTTAAATGTCCTTTTCTTAGTGAAGCTTTTGGTCCAGTGTCTTTGTGACTGTGGCCCAGGGTGATACAGCTCAGTTGATTAGGTACTCAGTGCCCAGCTTTCCTCACAGCTGGAATCTGGTATCTGACCTTGCATCTTTGTCCTGTGCCTTGATACAAGAGCTCACATACACTCCTGTTTATAAAAGTTTTCTTTTTAATAATTAATTGAAAAAATACATGAAAAATCTTTGAATATGTTCTGGAACATAATAAACATTCAATAAGTATTAATTATTATAGACTTTAGAATTTGGGACAAAATACACACATTATTTTTAGTAAGTATTGCTCTAAAATGTCAATGTTTTTCTACTGAATCAAATTGAATGTTCAACAAAGAATGTACATAAAATGAATAAGTATTTTTGTATTACAGTTCTATCCAGCAGTCTGCCTTTGGCCCCATATCATATATACATGATGAATTACTAGCAAAGTATATTGATGATCGAGAAGGGCCTGTGGGCAAAGGGCATTGTTGAAAAGAGAAAGGATTCCTGTAAAGGTGAGTTATTTTTAGCAAGCTTGGTCCAACAGTTTCTCAAACATGTTGTAAGAATGAAATTGTTGATGAAGAAGGAGAACCAGTAAATATGGGTGGACAGTCATGAGAGAAGCAACATTAGAACAGACCAAATGTTATTGTCTTAGTTAGAGTTTGCTTCTGTGTCAAGTTGACACACAAAACCAGCCACTACAGCTATGAAATCATTGTCTAAAGAAGGGGTTAAGCAATAATAAAACTAGGGAGTTTCATTTGGAAGCAACAAAGTTGAATTCTTAAATCTCCAATCTATAAATCAACTCCAATGATTCAGGATAGTGAAACCTGCATTACTCTCATTGACTTGGTCTTCTTGGCAAGGAGACAAGGTTATCACTAATCAGAAGCAGGTCTTCCTTCTCATGTCCTTATGGTCAGAAAAATAACTCTTTATAGTCATATCATCAAGCTAGAGAGATATTCAGGGCAGTTTTTACATCTGCATAGTTATTCCAGTAAGAAAGGAGATTAATGGGTTGTAACTAAAAAAACCCAGAGGAGCAATATAACTATACATTGATTATATTTGTACATGAAAATGAAGAAATGAAATTGGGAATTATATTTGAATGATAGTAATGTCATTATTAATAAAGATTGAGTAGATTTTTGAAATCTGGGCAGATGCACCCAAATTCACAAAGGTACAAGTCAGAGCAGTTACAACTTACTTCATTCAGTTCTAGTAGTGCATGATGGCAGGTATGCCTGGAAGTCATGGAACATTTAGATTTCATCATGAATTTACAAGTCAGGTGACAGCTAACAGAAAGCTCTCTTTATTTATGATTTTATTACTTTTGTATGGACAAGAGGCATTCATTTTTTCTTAGCATATATAAATCATGGAAAGACATTTATACAAGTCCATCATATTCATTAATCCCCTCTATTTTACATATTTATTTATCATACTTCTATATCCACTCCTCTTTCTATTCCTACACCTTTAGTAGTCTCTAGAAGGCTTATTTTCAAACACATTTTATTGGAGAAAAAAATTTCCTCACTGTAATGAGTTTATTTACAAATATATTTCGTTCATAGTATACAAAATCTTATGTAGGTGTTTGAACAGGTTATTTTAAAAGTTTGTAAATTCTTCCTTCACAATTTACACTATAAAATTATAATATGCTTGTATGAAACACCTAATGTGGTATAAATAATTGAGAAGTGTTCTGGGGTGAACAGCTCTTGAGGGATATTTTAATTAAAATTATTCAAGGAAAACTTGAACCACACATGGTATATTCAAGAAAGTGCGGTCTCAATACTTCCTGTGCAACAGTTGAACATTGTGATGAAGGTGTGATTCATGTCTGAAAAAGAGATGAAGAAAGGTAGTAAGGAAAGAAGGAAAAGAGAAAGAATGGATGGAGGAAGAGCAAGGAAGGAAGGAACAGAAGGAAGGAAGAAAGAAGGGAGGAAAAGAAGGAAGGGAGTGAGAGAGGGGGGGGATAGAAGATGACATCATTAAATTTTTTGTGTCATAAAATGGTAGTAGCTATGCCAGGGAATATAACTGCTGAGTATCCAACATCTACAACAGTAAGCATGAGAATGTGCAAAGAAGATTGATTTACTTGTACATCTTTTTCTCCTCCTTGTTCCAGAAGTCCAATGGTACTCTTTGTAGCTCTGTCATTCCTCTGCCCAGAGCTCTGGATGCCCTTCCACCACTCACTGTGAGAGATGAAGTTCTTACACAGGCTTAGAGCATGCCTACCATCGTCTGAGCTTCAGCTTTGGCCTCCTCTTCCTCTTTCCCTCAGGTGCATTCTACTTTACAGCCATTGATCTCCTTGCTCCTGCTAAAATGGCTCACATGATACTTGAGCAGGTCTTTTACATGGACCATAGCCTCTTCCAGAAAGTTCTCTCCTGATTTTGAGAAGGCTTTTCCCCCCCTCCTTTGTCAGCATTGGCTTGCAGCGTCTTCTCAATGGGAGTTGCCTGATTTTATCATACTCCCCTGACTTCTCTTCAAGCCCTCCTGCTGCTGCTCAGGTTTTCCATCCTATGCGGTGACTTGCTAACACACTCTGTCGGTATTATGCTTCCTGTTTGGTGTATATCACCCAGCACTAGCAGTGCATGAGCAAGAGCTTTGACAGTTTTTTTTCCATTCTCCTATCTACAATGCCTAGAAACCTACAATTCATAGAAAAACTCGGTAACTATTTCTGAGTTGAGCTCCTAGGTATGCCAATGTGCCTGTCTAAATTTTTGGGTTATTCTAAAGATACAAATAGCCTTGTCAATGAGGCTTAAGTATGGCTTTCTTTTGGAAGGTTCACAAAA